TTATTTAATTATTTATATTATTTTATTTTTAATTCTTTTTTAACAGAAAATTGAAAGAGTTTTTAAAAACTAATTTTTAAACTTTCTTAATAGCATCCATAATATTTTTAGATTTTATGAATTAATTATTTAAATATTCACTAAAAACAGATTTCAAATGTCACAAACAACAAATCTTTTATAAGAAATTTACTATTAATGGAATTATGAGAGCAATGTAAAAATGTGTTAATGTGACACACAATCAGTCAAACTTTCAAAATTTTAACGTTGAAAATCGCAAAAATACGAACATCACACGTTTGCGCAAAATAACAGGCAATAGATTTTAGGCACAATTCATCTCGTCGCATCGTCTCGCAATAGCTTTACTTCTCTTATCTATTTCACGAGTTATGCTCGGTCTCTATATTTCTATGTCTATGCATCCCATCATTCAAGTGTACACGGAAAAGAGATTTTAAATTTGGAAGAATCAAATGTTGCGGATGTTGATATGCAAAGACAAGAACAATTTAAACAATAAGAGCAGATAGAAAATGATAGTTAATCTGAGGACGACATTTCAAGTGATGACAATAATGCAGATTAGATTTTTATTACATTTACTAATATATTTTAGATTTACCAATATATTTTTAAATGGATATAACAATACAAAAATTCATATATATACGAGGGTCACTATTTATATTTCGGGAATAGGAACAAAAACAAATAGTTAAGCTGCGAATATATTTTTATTGTTTTTCAAAGTACTCGCCACGATGATCGATACACTTTTGCATGCGCTTAAACCAATTTTCAAAGCATTTATTCCATTCCGAATGAGGTATCTCCAAAACATGATTTTTGAACGCTTCAATAGCTTCTTCGGGCGATGAAAATCGTTGACCACGCAGTTTATTCTTCACGGATGGGAACAAAAAGAAATCATTGGGTGCCAAATCAGGGCTGTACGGCGGATGACCCATCAATTCGATGTTTTGAGTGCTCAAATAGTCTCTTGTTTGAGCCGATGTGTGAGAGCTCGCATTGTCATGATGAAGAACAATCCGACGTCTCTTGTTTGTTTTCCTTATTTCACCGAAGATTTCTGGCAAACAGATGGTTGTGTACCACTCAGAATTTACTGTTCTATGATCCTCTAGAGGCACTGTTGCAATATGACCAGTTTTTCCGAAGAAACAGGCCACCATTTTCTTTGAAGTGCTTCGTGCGCGAACAACTTTTGTTGGATTTGGTTCATCTTGGAACACCCATACAGTCGACTGCTGCTTACTTTCGGGCTCATACGAATATATGATTCGTCACCTGTCACGATTTTATAAACGTCTTTTGAAGCACCGCGATTGTATTTCTTAAGCATTTCTTTGCACCAATCGACACGAGCCTTTTTTTGAGCGATTGTCAAATTATGTGGGATCCAACGCGAACATAACTTTCGCACAGCTAAGTGTTCATGTAAAATCGCATATATGCTGGTGGAACTAATGCTTAGGGATGCCTCAATCTCACAATAGGTTATATGACGATCTTGCTTAATCATTTCGTGCACAGCATCGATGTTTTCTGGCACTACAGTCGATTTTGGACGACCTTCACGAAACTCGTCGGACAGCGAACTACGACCACGATTGAATTCACTATACCAGCGATACACAGTGGTTTTTGATGGAGCTTCATCGCCAAAAGTCAAATTAAGTTGATTGACGCACTCTTGTTGTGATAATCCACGTCGAAAGTCGTAAAAAATCATCGCACGAAAATGTTCACGATTCATTTCCATTTTTTGCCGAGACGAAACTTTCAACTAAATATAAAATAAACAAATAGCGTCCGTATGACAAAATGTTCTGAGTACGTATATCGTCAAAATGTCAAACTTTACGATGGAACCGTCAGATGGACTCACATGACATCAGTGTTGCCAATTCCCGAAATATAAATAGTGACCCTCGTATAAGTATTCTTATTATCTCATTAAACAATACCAAATATATTTTATTTATGTTTTTAGTTTATTTAATTTACTAACTACGTATTTGTTATGTTACAAAAACTTATGTGAAATTTATCAACTAAATACGTCAATTAAATTAATTTATGTTTATTTTACCAGTTTAATTGTAGAGTTTAGTTAATTTTATTTCTTCTATGCTTTTAAACTTACCAAAAATATGAATTGTTTTTCAATATTTCTTTTAGATGTATTATTCAGATAACCAAGCGTGATGTAGCAAACTATTGAGCAAACTAATGCATTGCATATGTTGTTACATATTTGCTCTACATTTGCTGACATCAAAGTAAAATACGTTACAAATGCAGCTACATGATTACTTATAAATGCAATCAGATAACAAAAAATGAAAATAAAATATTTATTAAAATCATATGTAATCTGAATAAAAATTCTTTATAATGTAATTTTTTCTTTATTTTGCTCCTATTTAATGTAATTTTATTAATTTATAGACTTTTGCACAGGAAGAGAGAGGGAAAGGGAGAAAGGGAGGGAGAAAGGGATGGTGAGGGAGAGGAGACAGGGAGGGAGGAAGAAAGGGAGAGGGCGAGGGGAAGGAAAGAGGGAAGGAGAAAGAGAGAGATGGGAAGGGAGGAGGAAGGGAGAGGAAAAGAGGTGGGAAAGAAATAGGAGAAAAGAGGGGAGGAAGAGAAAGAGGGAAAAGAGGAGGGAAGGAAAGGAGAGAGGAGAGAGAGAGAGAGAGGGAGAGAGAGACCTAGTTATAATTTCTAAATTGCATAGAAATTAATATTAAATGAGAAAATAACAAAATATTAGAAGTGATATAATTTTGACAATTTTCTTCTATATTATATCCAGATATCAAAATGTTAGCAGAATGTCGACAGTATGACATTCTGTTAGCATAAGTGGTAAGCAAAATCTGGCAGCAGATTAGCGACAAAAACCGAGCAGATCTGCACAATATAGTTGATGACAAATTGGCGGTGGAAACCAAGCAGATCTGTCAAACACAGTCTGAAAGCAGATTGGCGTTAGAAATTGAGCAGAATCTGCAATTCCTTTTCATTTGAATATATGATAGAATTGAATTTTTTCAATAAATATGTGCATAAGTTGTATCATACGTTACTCATAATTCTTTCCATAAATATAAAATTGAATGTATAACATATATTATATTGTAGTTATATCTCACATAGCAATTAAATGTTTAATTTAATAAAATTAATAAAATAAATTTTAAATATAATTAAATTTATGATTATATAAACATAAAATAATATTTAGGCCAACTAAAACGAGCAATAAATTTTTAAGGTGTTCTTTATTTATTTTATACTTTTAAACATTAAGACGAATTGTTTGTTAATGGTTGTGATCACGTTAAAACTTATTATCCAGTGACCAATTATTTGACTTTTTTTACAATTTCTTTCGTTGCGTTTTATAATATTTGTTGATTTACAATTTTTATAATTAATATGTTTTATAATTGCGACATGACATCCGTTATTAATTGCAAATTGTTAATATATTTTATTGCCGTCTGTTTTTATAATATCTATTTTATTATTTATATATCACAATTCTTTTGTCTCACATTTGATGAGAATAGGGATTTTACCGCTTTTATTTGCGCATTTTAATTGGACTTTATTTGTACATTATATTTATGATTTAATTCTGTAGATCATTATTCATGTTGTTATTTTTGCATTGAAGAAGACTGTAGTACAGTCAAAACGTTTGCGGTTTTTTTAATGTTTAGAAGTCAAATAAATAAAGAACACCTTAATAATTTATTGCTCATTTTAGTTGGCCTAAATATCATTTTATGTTTATATAATTTTTATTTTATACAAGCTTTCAAATTTTGATTTTAAATTTATGATTTATAAAATTCAAGATATATAATTTATAAGAATTAAATTCTCTCTTGTTTTATGCTTTAAAGAGGAAGTAAATATAATAAATAATTTTTTATTTATATCCTATTGATTCTAAACAGTTTAATATTCTTATATTAGACTTGTCAAATATGAAAAGAAAAATATATACTTTAGATCTTTTATTAATAGCCACAACTTGCAAACTTTATCATATATCTATGTCTATCAGAAATTTAATTGCGAGAAAATACATTGCATAGCAATAAGCAAAGGAACTATTAAATAGCTCCAAAATGCAGATCCATGTTGTCAATTTGCCATTAGATTGTGCGTGCACAAATCTTGCTTGATTTCTGCTGGAATCTGACATCAAACTGCGTTGGGCAGATCCTGCTCGGTTTCTGCCGCCAATCTGCTATGATAATTCTACACAAATCCTGCTTATTTCTGCTACTAACTTGTTGTGAAATTATATTAATAAATTTTATAACATTTCTAACAACATTTTGCTATCATTATCTGATATAACAAGTTTTATATACAGTCTGCAGTATTTTTGCTGGCAAAAATATATAGCACCAATTTGCAATACATGCTATTGGCATTCTTGGCTATCTGGGATATATTATAATCCTTTTATAGCTATTTGAACTATTTTTGTAAGTAGATAAAGTGCGTACTACAAGAGAGAAAATTTTTATTTCAAAATTATGTACTAAAAGTACTAAATCAAATAGACAAACAGTGAAATTAATAAATATTTTGAAAATTGCTATACTTATAATATCATATTACTTATAAATTATTATGCTATAATTCTTAATTTTGTTATAATGCGTTTTTCCAGACAGTAAAGGCCTTTCTTCCAATGATGTTAGAGAATAATAAAGGAATATTTTGAAAATTGCTATACTTATGTATAATATCATATTACTTATAAATTATTATGCTATAATTCTTAATTTTGTTATAATGCGTTTTTTCAGACAGTAAAGGCCTTTTTTTCAATGATGTCAGAGAATAATAAAGGAATATTTTGAAAATTGCTATACTTATAATATAATATTATATTACTTATAAATTATTATGCTATAATTCTTAATTTTGTTATAATGCGTTTTTTCAGACAGTAAAGGCCTTTCTTCCAATGATGTTAGAGAATAATAAAGGACACATTGTAAGCGTGGCAAGTTTAGCTGGTCAATGCGGAGTTCCGAAATTGGTAGATTATTGTACATCTAAATTTGCAGCTATGGGATTTGACGAAGCTCTTCGAATGGAACTTGAGGTAACTACAATTTATCCATTGATAAAATCCATGACAAACTGCAAACCTACTCTATATCTTTTAACGTATGAGTTATAATTTATTTGTTATAATGCATACGTTACAGAATTTGTAGTAAAAACGTGCGTTATAGTTATAACAGATGTGTTGTACGGAATAAATGTGCTGATTTAAATATTGTTAAATTAATCGGCCACTATTTTTTATTCTCTATTTTAATATAGTACGAAGGATACGATATCAATACAACAGTCGTGTGCCCTTATTTCATCCGTAGTACCGGTATGTTCGAAGACGTTCAATCAAGGTAAATCTTATAATATTTATGATTTGATGTAATGATTCACAAAAATATTAATCAAGTATTAAAACAAATTTTAGAAATTTATTTAAAAATTATATTTTGAAAATTGTTTACTGTTACACGCGTGCGCAGATACACACACACACACACACGCACGCACACACACACACACGCACGCACACACACACACACGCACGCACGCACGCACGCACGCACGCACGCACGCACGCACTCACGCACGCAAAAAAATGTTCCATTTTAAAAGATCCATACAAATATCTCAGAAACTTTGCGTGATATTAAAAAATGTTTCAAGTAAAAGTTATTTGATGTTGAGAAGTTCGTTTGATGATGATCTTTATTTGACTTTGGATCAAAGTTGGAAGTACTTTCAAGGTTAACTTAATTTTTTAAATAAAATATATCGATTTCTTGCAATATTTGACATAAATGTTATCACAACAAAATCTTTACAGAAGAAAAAAACACGCCAAGTATACATATAAAAAATTTGACATTATATGCAAATATGCTTTTGTAAAAATTGTTCCAAATTTGAAAACAAGATGTAAAATATACAGAAACACACAGAGCATTTCATGTCAAGTAAACCATCTTTATTGCAAAGAATTGATCTTTTTCTATTTTTAGTAGCTAAATTTTACTGATATTTTTTTTAAATTGAGAGAGACAAAGAATAGAGGGATTATATTAAGTTGTCTCTTTCTATATGTTGGCTTTATTTTTTTGTCCAGATGTGGAGATCATGTATAACATACTGTAACTTCTAATTATTAATCTTTATATAACTTATTGATATCTTTTTAAAAATTGGAGCAAAAACATATTTTTGAAAAGAAAATGTAGCAAAAATATCAAAAAATTTTAGTATTTTTTGCTCTGTAACTTAAGTATGTGCTATTTTTTACAAAACTATTATGACTTAATCTTAAGCTACTTAACCATTCGTAACTTTTGAATTATTTGAGCAAAACAATTTTGTTGAATCAAAAAGAGCAAAAATTAACAAATTAATTCCATATATAATTTTATATGTTTTAATAATTTATTTGCTTATTGTTAGATAAATTAATATTCCTGTTTATGATAAGCAATCGATCAATGACAATCAAGCATTTTCACAATATACATTGAAATTTGAGATTAAAAATTAAAGATTTTTGAGTAGAAAAGAAATTTTAACTTCTTTTTATTCTGATTCCAATTTTTAATTTGCACGGAGTTTAGGAAAAAGCGGCGAATTAATTGGCTATTGTGTCGCTTCTTGCGAGGTACGCATTTATATAAACTGTTATGATTCAACGTGTGCCTGCATTGTTTTGATTACACACTCTTTTAACATATAATACATATATTTGTATAGCGTGATTCCCGGGAGGTTGGCCGCCGTAGGCGGCAGGAGGGGGCGAAACCTCCCCCTAATATTATTATAATTATATTTATATCACACATTTTATTTTTATCGTGTGTTACCACCATGTCGTGACAGTAAGCTATACTCAATTTTTGCTGTATTTCTGCTCTTAAGACTGAAGTAGATTAAGGTAGATCTATCCTTGTCTTGTGTTTGCACAAATTTCTATACAGAATGTCAGATAATAATCGCTCCACCCGTCATATGCAGGTAAAGCAGATTAAATCAAATAAAAAGATCTACCGTTTTGCGATCTTCGTAATGAAATCAGCCAATTCTCACGTCTACAAACATGCGACGAAAATAAACAATTTAATGTTTCGCGGTTATTAGATATGACGAAATATTGGAACAATAAGCCCAGATTTGGGTCGCGTACTAATGATACCATATTTGGAACACACAAATAGTAAAACAGATACAAAGACAAACGAAAAAGAAACACACATACGTAGTTTTTGTTTGTGTTTGTATTCCTTCAACTACTTAGTTTGATGTGTGACCTGAATCTGGCATCATTGCATTGGGATTAAAATAAAGTTTATTTATATTACGCTTACCAATTGGTAATATTGGACTGTCTTTTCTCGCTGTGCTCTTATAAGCGACCGATCTTTTTAATTAATTTTTTAGTAATTATTGCAAAGATCGCAAAAAATTAGAAAAACTTTTCTACTCAATTTAATTCGCTTTATCTATTCATAATGGATGGGACAATTTATTACCAGATATCCTGTATGGAAGTTTGTGGTTTGCAGTCACATCGTAATTAACATAATAACAGCATGCTATTATATGAATAATTAATATTATAAGAGTAATTAATATATTATAAGCTATTATAAAAGTAATTAATATAATAACAGCATGCTATTATAAGATGTTATGCTGCATTCTTATCATATTTTTGCTATCACAATGTGACATCAGATCATGTTTAATTTTTATTCCTTTTTGTGTGTAATAGATATGATAAACTTTACTTAAAATTTCGCTACTATATCTGCTGTCAGAACATAACAAATAATAGTTAATGTGTGTGTGGTTATATTTTCATTGTTATATCAATAAGTTATGCTGTGTGTGTAATGTGTGTGTGTAAAGTTGTGATTAAATTTTTTGTTGACACATTATTGTCATATTCCTAACATTTTGCTATCTGAATATTTATTTGTACTTTTTCTCTATTTATTTAAATAATTTATTTAATTTTAATATTTTATGTAATTTTTAAGATATTTAATAGAAATACATGTACACTACTTAAAACAAAATAGGAAACTTTTCCTATCTTAAAAATTGTATTTTTAAATTACTGAAACGACGAAAATCATCACAAATAAAAAATTTAAAAAGCATTTTAAAACAAAGTTTTAACGCGACATCAATTTAAAAAATTTTTTTTATCTTCCCGTTCTATGCTTTAGAAAAGAACACATTGATTTGTTTCTCAAAATTACTTTTTTTGACACTTTGAATTTTGATAAAAAAATTTCTTTTGAAAATTTTACTCAAATTTTATAAACTACATTTTTCCTATAAAACGCTTTTTTAAAATTTTTTGCTACGATTTTTTTTGACTGAGTTACATAATCTTGAAAAAAAACCTGTATTTTTTTAGAGATAATGTCGATATTCAACGAAAAATCATCATAAACAAAAAAAATTAAAAAACTATTTTAAAGTTTAAAAAATCAACTTTAACGCGTTGTCGGTAATTTTACAATTTTTTTTATTTTTCTTCTTCTGAAAAGTACAGATTTAGTTACAAAATTGTGTAACTCGGTTTAAGAAATCGTAGAAAAAAATAGCATTTTGTAGGCAAAATATTGTAATTTATGAAACTTGAGCAGAATTTTTTGAAAAAAATTTTTATCGAAGTTCTGAGTGTCAAAAATATGTAAATTTAAGGAATATAAAACATGACCTTTTTTTAAAGCATAGAACGAAAAGATAATTTGTAAAAACCATAAATTTCGCGTTGAAGTTGAAACTTCAAGTTTTAAAATGCATTTTCAATTTTTAATCTACGATCATTTTTTATCGAATTTCAGCGATTTGAAAATAACAGAATTTTTAGAATAAGAAAAATGTTCCTTACTTTTTTTTAGTAGTTATTTCTTATTTGACGTAATTATTTTAAACAGCTAGCTATATGTTTATATAAATATAATGAGATATATTCCAACTCTGTGTAATATAAATTTTATGTAAATGTAATGTAGATATATTCCAACTCTGAGTCCAAACGCCGTAGCTGACAAAATCATAATAGCAATGAGATGCAACCAAAAATATGCCATTATTCCAGGCTACTTACAAATTCTGCTAGCTTTAAAATGGTGAGTAATTTATAAAATTGTATGAACATGAAATATGTGTCCGATAATAATCATCCCTATCTTTCATATGCAAATAGAGTAGATTAAACCAAATAGAAACCTCCTACGAATAGAATCCTCTATTATTGTTTTGTGATTTTCTTTGCAATAATTAATGAAAAATTAAAAAAGAACAATTAATCCATGCAAATACAAGCATGCGGCAGAAAAGACATCCCAATGTTTATCGCGATTGCTAAACGAAGCGTTGAGAGAAATGTACTACAGATGACAATGATTGTGTGTATGTGTGTGTATATATATATATATACACTAGTCAAAAAAATTATCGCAACACGCAATTAATATCAAAATTTCGCGTAAATTCAAATAAGCGTATCTCCACGAAAAATTATCGTATTTAAAAACTTTTTTTTGTTTTAAAGGGTGAAGTCTCTATTTTAAGAAACTTTCGTTCAATTTTGATTTCATCGTCTTCCCCTCTCTCCATCCCTTTAAAAAGTAAGATGTATTTTTTTTTAAATTGCAAAATTTGACGAACTCTACGGGGTGAAATAAATTTTTTTCGTAAATCTTATTCAAATTTTTGTAAAATATAGATTTTTTCCTACAAATTAAAAAAAAAGCAAAATTTGTACAATTTTTTGGGCAGAGTTACGACATATCAAAGTTATCTATGTATTTTTGTACAATTATCACCAGCATTAGCGATACCCGACGCGCACCAACGATGATTGCGCGACAAATTGCTAATAAAGATCTCCTTTAAAGAATCAGTGATCAAATAATTAGAAGACGTTTACGTAAACGTGGTTTAAGATCGCAAGTTCGACATTTTCCTCTTCTAATGTATGAAAAAAATGTATGATCCATACATTTGAAGAGAAAAATGTTGAACTCGCGATTTTAAACCACGTTCACGTAAACGTCTTCTAATTATTTGATCACTGATTCTGTGAGGGAGATCTTTATTAGCAATTTGTCGCGCAATCATCGTTGGTGCGCGTCGGGTATCGCTAATACTGATAATAATTGCACAAAAATGCATAGATAACTTTGATATGCTGTAACTCTGTCAAACAAATCGTACGAACTTTGCTTTTTTTTAATTTGTAGGAAAAAGTCCATATTTTACGAAAATTTGGATAAGATTTGCGAAAAAAAATTTATTTTATCCCGTTGAGTTCGTCAAATTTTGCAATTTTTTGAAAAAAATACACCTTACTTTTTAAAGGGATAGAGAGAAAGGGAGAGAATAAAATCAAAATCGAACAAAAGTTTCTTAAAGTAGAGAGACTTTCCCCTTTAAAACAAAAAAATTTTTTTTAAATATGATAATTTTTCGCGGAGATACGCTTATTTGAATGTATGCGAAATTTTGATATTCATTGCGTGTTGCAATAATTTTTTTGACCAGTGTGTATAAACAGCATCATTAATGCTTTTCCATCTGCAAATAGCCACGTTCGAGTTAAAAATAGCTAGACATATTGCGTCTAATTATTTATCATAACTATAAGTTCTTGAAGGACTCAACATTATTTCGGAACAATTATTTTGACAGCTCTAACAAGTAAAGGTACCCAACTGTCACTTACAAATTTTAATGAAACTTTGCACACTTGTAAAACTATGCAAAATAATAAACACGTACTTTTTTTATCCGCGGAAAAGCGATTTTATGGGCAGAAACAACCCCTTGTATATATGGGGTATTTTTCACGTTATATTTTTGACGATTTTTTTGAAAAGATTGAGGTATTATAGGGTTTTTTATCGAATTCAAATCTGTCATAATTTAAAAATACAAAATGGCTGATTAAATATGGTGCCCATTCTTTGTGAATAAAAGAAATTTTTTAAAGGAAATTGAGACAATGTCAATGGAAATAAACGTTTTTAAGTTTTTCAGGCTGCTAAATTAAATTTAGTAACAAATTAGAAAGATACAAATATTTCGATAATGTATATACTTTGAAGTGTTTCGATTAGAAATATCTACTTTTTGAGTAGAAACATTTGTACTGAAAAAATCTTGAATGTGCAATGACTCTTTTGCCAGTTTATCTACATGTTTATTATCCTATGCCTTTATGGCTGAATTTCCAATTTTTATACCTAGGGTATTCCACGAGAAATCGAACAGTTTGCGACTAGAAAAGTTTTCGCTCAAATAACTATGGCGGCTCAAAATTTAGGTATCAGTGTAATCTTTTGAATGCCTTGTGACGCGTTTAAAAATTAACACTAGCTGATTTAATACGGCGGCTAAAACACAAAATTGTAGAAAAAACTGAACAATTGATCAGAAAACCAAAAAATATTATTTCTGCCATTAAATATTCTCAATTAGTATAGCTTAAGTAAGACTCCACGTAGCACAGAATGTCTTGTGAATATAAAATGAACATCCATGGTATATCTAATATGAGACATCCATCAGTGGATCATATTTAAATGTCCATAGAATGTCCAGTTTGGATATCCAATCCCATATAACATAAAATTTCCGTAGAATATCTTTATTTGATCGAAATTATCTCAAATATACATATATATTTATAATTAATCAGATTAAATTTTTCTGAGGATTACCTGGAGGATTACCTATAAGAATATCTCCTACAGCACAAAATATTGTTAAAATATTGCATAAATATTTCCATATTACGCCATATTACAAATATATTGCAGTAATATTATGCAAATATTATAAGTTAATTAATATTTTATTGGAAACATTGCAAAATATTACTGCTACATTATATCACATCTCTAATAGCACAATATATCCGAAGGAGATTCAGAGGATAGCTAAAAAATCCTCTCAACATACTCTGGAAGTCTTTTGAACGTATTTCGGATATGTGTGCTCTTAGGGACAGTTCTTTCATGTACCGCTATGCGCCGCACGTGAAGTTATCTCACATTTAAATTTTAGTCATGGGATTATATAAACGCAAAAAGCGGCTATTGCCATTAGAACTACTTATTTTTATTAGTTTAATTTTATCTAATGCGATCCCAATCCAGGGAACTCAGATATTAAACTGATTGTTTAGAAATATTGAACAAATAAATAACAAAAAAAAATAAAAAATAAGAAATATTCTGTACTATTTTATAAATATTCACATTTGCAGAAATATATCAACAAATTCGTAGAGATTACCCTATATATTCAATTACGTTGTGCAATCAAATTATGGAGAGGGGCAGAAAAATGTGACATTTTTGAAAAACTTGACATTTTTTAAAAATTTGATTACATTGTTTTAAAGAACATTAAAAACCATAAAACTTTTATTTGAAACATTTTTTTTATATAGGAGTTATGGAACATAATCGACCAAACTAGCGACTAAATCATTTATTCAATTTCACGACGTTTCGACCGTGTGATTGTGGTCCTTTCCAAGTAAAACACTAAAAATATTTTATTACATAAATAATTATTAGTACAAAATTCACGAAAATACACATATTAATATTATAAAAAACAGGAATTATACAAATAAATTAAGTTACAGTTAACGCATCATTATACAATAGTTGTCAGTAACATTTCTTAAAATTATATAAGTCAATCAATATAAAATTAAACATGATTAAACATCATAACCCGTCGAAGAATAGTCAGATTCTAATATGTTTAAAAAAAAATATTTACACGACTTTAATTATTTTATTATAAACCTCGTTTAGATTCTCCGTATCCTTCTGTGAGTTTATGTTGTTAAGTTTTTTAATGTAGAACATTTCGGCTAACTCTCTTTTTCTTAAATGTTTTTCCGTAAAATGTTAAATTTATTCCAATCAAAATCATGTTCAAATTCAGATTGGTGTTTACTTATAACCAAATGTGAACTATGATGCAATTTAATATTATTACAATGCAATTGCAATTTTTTTTATATCTTTTATCGTTTCGACGGTATTAGCTCAGGAATTAGAAAAACTGATTTTTTCAAGGGGGTGGTTTACCCCCTAAACGTCGAGATACATCGCTAAAAAACACGAGTTTAATATTTTTCAATATTCTACAACATATTCAAGGCTCATTAAAATCGCTGAGGGACACTTCCGACCGTTTCCTTGTAAGTATTAAACAACCCTTGGAGTAGACCAATTGTAGTTAGATGTAGGTTAGATGTAGTACTAAACTACCCTTGGGGTAGACCAATTGTAGTTAGATGTTGTAGGTTAATACCGAAGGCGAAATTAAATGATTTCTATGAGAAGTAGTGACTTTCATAAAATCTAATATTTTTTTGCAGGAAGACCAAATTAAAATTTAGATAAAATTACAATAAATAGGATCTCAGAAATGACGTTATCAAAGATACCAATTAAATCTAAAAACACAGCACCTATATAAAGTTGTAAGTTGTAAGCAATCCTAATATCTACGATTAGAATTGCATTATTGTCTGTGCAGAATCTTCTTTTAAATCCAAATTATTCTAAATCTAAATTAAATTATTTCCATGTATAGTGGAAGGCTAATATTTGGTACTATTTAATTTTTTTGATAATCAACTTTTCAAAAACTTTGTATAAATTATTTTGTATAAATTTGCCAAAGAGATAAGTCTCAAGAAATTTTTGTTATTTCTCGATTTCGGAATGAAAAGTAGTTATTCTATTGGTGCGAAAAAGAGCCATTATTAAACAAAAATAAAATCAATATATGCAGTTCAAGAGGACATCTTTTAATAATCTTATTCGAAATGAGGTCGGATCCAAAAGCAGAATTAATCTTGAGCGACACTATGACTTTTTTATATCCTATGATTGTAAAAGGGATGATTGTAAGGATGTTGTTATCTATTTCATCTCTGGTAAATTCTATATTACTAATTTCTTCTAGGTTGTTAGCATCAATAAGATAAGGAGAACTAGGGCGAGCAATCTTGTTAAATGCTTGATTAAATGCTTCTTTATTTATGCTAAAGTGATTATAATTGTCTTATATTATTGGTTTCTCGTGAAGAATGCTG